AATGGAATGGAATACAGAACAGAATGGAATGGAATACAGAACAGAATAAAATATTATAGAATGGAATGGAATGGAATATAGAACAAAATGGAATGGAATACAGAACAGAACAGAACAGAACAGAATAGAATAGAACGGAACGGAATGGAATACGGAACGGAACAGAACAGATTCTGGAAGGGACCTTGGAGGTCTTCTAGTCTAGCCCCTTGCTCAGGCAGGAGGACCTATACCATTTCAGACATAGAAAAAGCTTTCAGAGAAAGCTTAGGAGAGACAAGATATTTGAAGGGCTGTCACAGAGAAGAGGGGGGTCAATTTACTCCCTATAGAACCTGAGGGCAGGACAAGAAGTAACAGAAGGACAATCATTAAAGATACATCCAACCTAGAACTAAGGAGAAATTTCCTGACAGTGAGAACAATTAATCAGTGGAACTGCTTACATCCAGAAGTTGTGGGTGCTCCATCACTGGAGGTTTTCAAGAAGAAGCCATTTGTCTGGAATGGTCTAGGGCAGTGGTGGCGAACCTATGGCACGTGTGCCAGAGGTGGCACTCGGAGTCCTCTCTGTGGGCACACGTGCCGTTGCCCCAGCCTCGCCTCCCCCCACGACCCTCTCCTCACCCACCAGCAGCCCCCCTGGAGGAGAGTCACCCCCGAGCGTGGCCCACAAGGAGCAGCGCAGCCCAGGACATGGCAGCCAGGCAGCATGGACAGGACTCTGCCCTCACGCCCCATCCCGCACAGTTGATGCTGCGGGGCGTGGGCAGAGGGTGTGGTCATGGCGCTGCTGGGCTGTCTGGATGATTGGCAGGCCCTGGAGGCAGTGAGTGGCCCTGCGGGGTGGGGGACAGGGTGGGGGTGGGGCCAGGTTTTGGGCACTCGGTCTCTAAAAGGTTCGCCATCACCGGTCTAGGGTCTCCTGCTTGAACTGGGGGTTGGATTAGAAGAACCCCAAGATCGTTTCCAACTCTGTTATTCTGCATTATAATTGTGTAGAATTTCCTCCTAATAGCTTATTGCTAGCAATGGGCCCAGAAATAAGAGGATTCTTCATACAAGGGCAACCTGGGCCAATGACGTGGCCACAGACGTCTTCCTAAATATTCACTACACTACCACAACTGAATTTACAACAAGGCATTTATTTTGAAGCCAGGTCAGCTCTGGAACAAGAAAGCATCTGTGTTAAACTTGTATTTTAGTTTTTAAATCAGTGGGTTTCTTTGTTAATCGGTTAAAAGTGAGATGATTACTCAGAAACAAATTGCTTGAATTTCCAACTGCTTAACAGAACATTTATACACAACATTTCTCCTATTTTCTTTTGCATAAAGCTGATTTTTAGTGTTAAAAATAGTTACACCGTTAATAGATACAAAGCTAAGATGCCCAATCAACTGACTCTTGTTTCCATAAGTTCATGTTTTTTAACACCTAGAAAAGTACACCCATTATCATCCCAATTAATACAGTTACACAAAAAATGCTCTATACCAGGGATAGGAGTCTAAATTACATAGCTGGTCTATAGTATTCATCTTTCCATCCTAGTACATTACAGGGAGTCTCAGCTTACGACCAAAACTGAGCCCAAAATGGCTAATACGACCTTTCCTGCCACTGTGGTTAAGTAGTCACTACAGTTATTAAATTAGTACCACAGTTGTTCAGTGAATCTGACTTCCCCATTGACTTTGGTCATCAGAAGGACACAAAAATATCATTTTTTGCCACCTTCTGATAAGCAACGTCAATGGGGAATCCAGATTCACTGAACAACTGTGGTACTGTGTAATTTACTCCTGTGGTACTATGTAATTGAATTTATTAATTTGCTATGTAATTTGAAGGGCCCTGAACATTGCAACCGTCATAAACATGAACCAGTTGAACCTAGCATCTGAATTTTGATCCCGTGGCCACGGGGAGGCTGCCACGGTCGCAAGCGTGAAAAATGGTCGGTCGTAAGTCCGTGCCGTTGTAATTCCGAACGGTCATTAAATGAACGGTTGAATGTCAAGGGCTACTTGTGGTTTTCAGCACAGGTACCAAACACAAGGACTAACCTCCATGGCCATTAAGTAAATCAGAAAGGGGGCTCCAGGCTCAAATTTGGTCGAGGAGGAATAAACGTATGAGAAGAAAGGAATGAACATAAAAATAACCTCCTTGAGTTTCACGGAAAAGTAGCAAGAGAGGGTCGATTTTTGGTTGTTTTTTTGGACTTCCATGCTAGGTTATCATTAGGCCCAGTTATTTATGAGGGTCAGCTTATTAAGCCAGATCTAATCCCCTTTTCCTGCAGATGTTCTCCTCTTTCAGACAGCTGGTCTAATGATTATCTTAGAAGCCGGAGAAGGCATGGGAGCAGTTGCTTAGCAACCATCCTCTTTCGCTTCAAGGTAACTTAGAGGCAATAGGAAGATAAATAGATGAATTGCCTCAAAGCCATCTGCAGACTCCTATCCGGCACACTCAACTGAAGCATGAAGACGATTTAATACTGGAAAAAAAAACCACAGGATGCCCTCCGTGCCCTCCGAATTGCCCTCTGTGTCTCTTTCTTGAAAAGTACCAAGCAGCTCCCAAAACAAAGGAACAATGAAAGCCTCGGCTTCTGTAGATGGGTCTCCAAAAATGAGCTCCTTCTGAGCAGGAATAGAATAGAATAGAATAGAATAGAATAGAATAGAATAGAATAGAATAGAATAGAATAGAATATTTCTTAGAAGAATAGAATAGAATAGAATAGAATAGAATAGAATATTTCTTAGAAGAATAGAATAGAATAGAATAGAATAGAATAGAATAGAATAGAATATTTCTTAGAAGAATAGAATAGAATAGAATAGAATAGAATATTTCTTAGAAGAATAGAATAGAATAGAATAGAATAGAATAGAATAGAATAGAATAGAATAGAATAGAATAGAATAGAATATTTCTTAGAAGGAATAGAATAGAATAGAATAGAATAGAATAGAATAGAATAGAATAGAATAGAATAGAATAGAGCTGGAAGGGACCTTGGAGGTCTTCTAGTCCAGCCCCCTGCTCAAGCAGGAGAACCTATAGCATCTCAGACAAGTGACTGTCTAGCCTCTTCTTAAAAACCTCCAGTGATGGAGCGCCCACGATTTCGCCTTAGTTAATACATTCCCTTCTACTAATTATTCCTCCTCACCTTTCTTTTACAATAACACTGTTATAGAATAATAGCATAACACATTGGAAGGGACCTTGGAGGTCTTCTAGTCCAACCCCCTGCTCAAGCAGGAGACCCTAGACCATTTCAGACAAATGGTTGTCCAGTCTCTTCTTAAAAGCCTCCAGTAGAATTTGATTCCATAAAAATCAAAATCACGTGGAGTATTAATACCACTTTATAAAACCTTAGTAGGACCCTAGCTGGAGCACTGCATCCAATTTTGATCACCACATTACAACAAAGATGTTGAGACTTTGGAAAAAGTGCAGAGAAGAGCAACTAGGATGATTAAGGTCCTGGAGACAAAAACATCTGAAGAACAGTTGCAGGAACTGGGGTTACACGACGGCAGTGTTTGAGGGGCTGCCACAAAGAAGAGGGGGTAAGCAAAGCACCAAAAAGGCAAAGACAAGAAACAACGGATGGAAACTAATCAAGGAGAGAAGCAACCTGGAATTAAGGAGAAACTTCCTAACAGTGAGGACAATCAACCAGGGGAAGAAGCTTTGCCTTCACAAGTTTTGGGTGCTCCCTCACTGGAGGTTTTTAACAAGAGACTGGACAGCCACGTGTCTGAAATGGCATGGGGTCTCCTGCTTGAGCAAGGATTTGGACTAGGTCCCTTCCAGCTCTATTCTGATTCTGATTCAGTGATGGAGTACCCACAACTTTCCACTGATGTGGACGGATGTTGTCACTGGCAGGAAATTTCTCCTTTGTTCTAGGTTGCTTCTCTCTTTCATTAGTTTTCATCCCCTGATTCTTGTCCTGCCTTCAGGCGAATAAGGGAGGTCCTGCCATCATGTCTGGAGGACCACGAGATTCAAAACTATCCAAGCTTAACTAGACCAAATCCACAGTCTTTTTTTTTTCTGGCCACGGCTAGTAAAATGTTGTGGTTCATAAGCTAATCATGAGTGTGGTGAGACCCAGAACCAATAAGGGGAAACATTTGCTCAACTACAAAAATGTAGTGGAAGAAAAACAATATTTAAAGCTGGTCTTAAACCTCCCACAATTTATCAATAACGGTGCCGCAAAGAAATTCATAATATTCAGATTCTCTCAGGGTTAATTCAAACCCATCAACAAACTGTCATCCCAATGATTAATGACAAATCTTCCATTCCAATAGCTTCTTCTCCTAGCACTTTCATTTATCTAGGGAGAAGCTGGAAGCTTAAATTTCTCAGCCTGTCATTGTGTCTGCAGCAAACTCTTTTGCACAGATTATTCCTCGCTTCCAAAGAGAGACTAAATATTTGCAAGCCTGGCTGGAAGGTGAATGCATAAAAATTCCCTTCATCTGATATACAGCAATATCCATCCATGGCCAACGATACCAAAAGTCCTTTAATTATTTAAAAGCAAATTATTAATTACAAGCAAGCCACTTTAGCTGACTGTGTTCAGCAGGTCAGCGGTTCAAATCTCACCGGCTCAAGGTTGACTCAGCCTTCCATCCTTCTGGGGTAGGTAAAATGAGGACCCAGATTGTTGGGGGCAATGTAAATATATATATATACATTGCTTACTGGTGTACACCGCTTAGAGAGTGCTTGCACTTAAAGCGGTATATAAGTCTCATAAATAAATAAATAAATGACCACCCGTATTAATTTTGGAAAATGTATTTTTTTAAAAAAATAGAATAGTAATCGCAATGCTCAAATCATGCTAGTAAGTTACGACCACTTGTAATTTCTATAGAAATCTAAAGTCCTGTAGTACAGCAATATCCTCAAATGATATCATACTCTGTATCACTGCGGATTGGATGACTCACCATTTAGGGAAAAAATTGCTGGTTTGAATCGTCTCTCCCACTTGCTTGTTGTTTTTTTTTTAAAAAAAGGCAAATGTGATCTTGTACAGTAAGTTCCTCAGATTCTTTCTGGATGGGAAGAAAAGAAGAAAAAAATTTAAAAAAAATATTATTCCATGTGAACTTTGTCTCTTGCTAAGCAGGGTCTATAGAAAAGTCACCATGGCCAACTCACCAAGGCCAACTTGCGCTGGGAGAAGAGTTACACTACTACCAAAGAAACAGTGAGATAGAATCGTTAAAGAAAGGATGCAAAGGGAGGGACAGAATGAAATGTGAATGGCAAAAATTAAAATATTTTTTTAAAATTTATTTTCAACAATTGAATATAACCGATAAATTGTCCCACAGGAAGTTGTCCCGTGACATGTTGGCCATGGCAAGTTGTTCTTCAGCAAGATGGCCGTGGTGAGTTGACCACAGTGCGTTGGCTGTGGCAAGTTGCCCCACTGGGTGCTAAGCCGCACTGAACTGGACAACAATCCTTGGAGAAAACTGAGGAAGGAATGTGATTTTCCTCAATATCACGCCCTCCCAACTTTTATAAATACAGTAGTCCTCCACTAAGGACCACAGTCGGGCCCAAAATTTACCCTGCTAAAAGAGACGGTGGTTAGGTGGGTTTTACATTCTATTCTATTCTAGAAAGTTTTTTCAGGCGAGAGGACATGAAACTATTAGGTAAGATGGAATATTTCAAATTGAACCTTTAATTCTCACTTTAGATCAGGATTCCTGATTCATAAGAGAAAAGTACCACTTGCTCTCTCTCTCTCTCTCTCTCTCTCTCTCTCTCTCTCTCTCTCTCTCTCTCTCTCTCTCTCTCTCTCTCTCTCTCCTTCCCTCCCTCCCTCTCTCTCTCTCAGAAGTAGAACTTCTATTGGATTCACAATTTCATTCTTCTATTGCCCAAATGAGTAAACTGCTTGAATGAGTAGACGTCTTCTCTGTTATTCGAACTGGCCGCACGTGCATTGTTAAAATTAAATACATTTCCAACATTTATTAAACGTAACTCTCCAAAGGCTATTTCACACATTACTAAGCAACAGGCTCGGGCTTTCTCTGACACTGTATTGTTCTGAATGTATACGTGTTTTAAACTACATCTGTGGTTGTCCTTTGTTGTTGTTGTTGTTGTTGTTGTTGTTATCTCTGTGCACTCTGAATATGCACTGGGTGTTTGGAAAATTCAACACTGCCCACCATGGAGGAATGGTTGGTGAAGTTGACCGTTTTGGCCAAAACGGATAAATTGATCTCTTTGAAAGACATACTTATTGGTGGCTGGAATTCTGCCTGTTATGGATTTCATGAAAAAAATAAACGTGATTAATGGCTTTGATGATTAGACAGGTCGAATTATAGGAAGATGTAATTATAGAAAGAGGTTAAAATAAAATATATACTTATATCTGCTGGGAGGAATATTGAAATGGACTTTTTAAAATATTTCTATTTTTTTCATCTTTTCTTTTCTTGCCCTTTGATTGTTTCTTTGATTTCTTTCATTTTTATTTCTTTTTCCCTACTTTATGTTAGTTTGTGTTAGTTTTTTATCTTTTTTGTTTAAAAGTTTTAATGAAAATTTTATAGGGAAAAGAGGAAGGGAAGGGGTGGGGAGGGGAGAGGAGGGAAAAGGAAGGGAAGGGAAAGAAGAAGGGAAAAGGAAAGAAGAGGGGAAGGAAGAAAGGGAAGGGAAAGAGGAAGAAGAGGGGAGGGGAGGAAAAGAGGAAGTGAAGAGGAGAGGGTAAAGAAGGGAAAGAGGAAGTGAAGAGGGAAGGGAAGGAGAGGGGAAACAAGGGAAGGAGGAAGGGAAAGAGGAAGGGAAGAGGGAAGAAGAGGGGAAGGAAGAAAGGGAAGGGAAAGAGGAAGAAGAGGGAAGGGGAGGGGAGGAAAAGAGGAAGTGGAGAGGGGAAAGAAGGGAAAGAGGAAGTGAAAAGGGAAGGGGAGGAGAAGGGAAACAGGGGAAGGAGGAAGGAAAAGAGGAAGGGAAGCAAAGCGAAGAAGCTCTTTGACTTTTCTTACAGCAAAAACAGAAATACTGTTCAGAAAGTTTTCTACTAAGCCTTGGCAGAAAACTTTCAACTGTTGTCAACAAACCTTCAACAATTACTGTACCAAACAGCCCGTTCCAGAGTCTTCTGTTGCCGTGCTTTGTGTTTTTCATTCACTATAGTTACAAAGCAGGTGTTAGCATCTAACCAACCTTGATCTTCCAAAAGCTAAAGATGGGAGCCTAGGATACTCCAGGGCTGTAGTCTAGTTAAGGCACTCAAAAAAGCATCTCAACGGAAGCCAATAGCAAACCAGTTTCGTACACTGTGGTCAAGAAAACGGCAGGACAATAGCCACGTCATCAGCAGTGATTTAACATTCAGTTTAGATAAATTAAGGGACAAAATACATCCGTGACCCAGTTCTCACATCAGAAAGGTTTCAGTTCTATGGTCAGTTCTCTCCTGGTGCTTGTATTTTGTTTGTAAATGTGGGGGGGGGGTGGAAATGACACAGAAGTGACAGGGTTGATTTATAAGACTCACGGTGGTGTCAGCAACTACATCCAAATCTTGGTAAAGAATAGCATTAACGTTAGGTTTGGACAGGGTGGAACCATGGAAAAAGCTCCTGTACTAATGTGAAAATTGGTCTCTAGCCAACTGATATCAAGAGCTTATGGAAAATTCCCTCTCCCCTTTTAAAACAACTATAGATAGCAGCAAAGACTACAGCTAGGCAATTAACACAACTGGCTTCCAGACCCTTTTGGAAAAACAAATCAGGAAAAAAATGATCTACCTTTTAGGCAAACACTAAAAGAAAAAAACCAATCGTATATTTACGTCATTCACAATGGATGGTTCTGGAGGGAGGAGGATGGAATGGGGGTAAAATACAAGAAATAGCCGATAGCAAATTGTGTTCCTGCCTTCATTAACCACAGGATGCACACAAATCTGAACTGTTCGCTCCCATCATCTCCTAGGCTTCACTGGCGTAGAAGAACTCAATATGATGCATTCTTGTTTCCTGTATCTTGAGCACAGATTAAACAATCTACATCTGAAAGAAAACCTAAATTAGAGTGACAGCTATCTAATTTCTCATGGATGGAATATAGCAAGAGGGAGGGAGGGTGGAAGGAAGGAAGGAAGGAAGGAAGGAAGGAAGGAAGGAAGGAAGGAAGGAAGGAAGGAAGGAAGGAAGGAAGGAAGGAAGGAAGGAAGATTTCTGAAAAATAATAAAGGAAGGAAACTTCTTTGTAGAACTAAAAACTTACTTTAGCTTAACTGGCCGATGAATTTGTTATTTAGGATTTCAGACCATTCTGGAATAGAATTTATATTTGTATTCTATTCTATATAGAATAAAACTCAGGATTTAGACCATTCCGGAATAGAGTTTGCTTATTTTTCACACTATTTTGCCAATACAATTTTACTGTAATAGGGAAAGAAATCCTAAAAATACATTTTTTTTAAAAAAAGGAATTGCTAGCAATTGTTACCAACGAGTAACTCAAAAAGATACATTTACTGAGATCTGATTGCAAGTTTTATTAAGCTAAATCAACCAAAAGGCATCAACGGTAGCATTTAAACGGAGGGATCACTCTTTGAAAACATGCTCCCCCAGCTAGGGCATCCACACCCTGGCTTGTAGACTTTTCCCACAACACAAAAGCTGAGAAATTTGTATGCTGCTGGCGGGTTTGCACAGCTGATCCTCAGTGTTCAAAAGATGATTATTTTTCATTCTAGTTTCCCCTAGCATGGTAAAATATTTTCCTGGCAACTTTCTAGAGAATAGCCTTGCCATCCGGCTTCAGAGCACGGCTAGAACCAATCTTAGCCCCAATCCTCCAGTCAAAAGTCTAGCGGACCTATTGAGTAGTAAAAGGTCCCAGACCCTGGCTCAGCCATGGTTGCCCAGCCTAAGCTGGCCTCCATTCTGGGCTGCCGATCTCAAATCTCTCCAGAGGTTTTGCTGCTTTGGTGTCACTGTTTAAAAAGACACAAGCAAGCTGTGTCATAGGTCATTCTTTATTTCCTGTCAGAAGTTTACTCCCTTCCAATTTACTCTCAGTGCCAAGTAAACAGATGCTTTGTGAGGTCTGCAGCTGTACATGCTGGAAAGGGATCCTCAGATGTGACCTGACTGCAGCCTGATTTCTCAGAATAATAACAAAAGAACAGAGTTGGAAGGGATCTTGGAGGTCTTCTAGTCCAACCCCCTGCTCAAACAGGAGACCCTGTACAATTCCAGACAAGTGGCTGTCCAGCGTCTTCTTAAAAACCTCCAATGATGGAGCACCCACAACTTCTGAAGGCAAAGCCGTTCCACTGCTTAGTTGTTCTCACTATTAGGAAATGTCTTACTTCTAGATTGCTTCTCTCCTTGATTAGTTTCCATCCAGGATTGCTTCTTGTCCTGCCCTTGGTTGCTTTGGAGAATAGATTGACACCCCCCCCCCTCTTCTTTGTAGCAGCCCCTCAAATTTGGAACATTGCTATCATATCATCCCTGGTCCTTCTTTTCACTAGACTAGCCATACCCAGTTCCAGCGACCATTCTTCATATGTTTTAGCCTCCTAATCATCCTTGCTGCTCTTCTCTGCACTCTTTCCAGAGTCTCAACATCTTTTTTATATTGTGGTGACCAAAACTGGATGCAATAGTCCAAGTGTGGTCTTAGCAAGGCACTGTAAAGTGGTATTAACACTTCACTTGATCTTGATTCTATCCCTTTGTTGATGCAGTCTAGGATTGAACTGGGTTTTTTTGGCAGCTGCCGCACACGGCTGGGTCACATTTAAGTGACTGTCAACTAGGACTCCAAGATCCCTCTTACTTTTCTCAGCACTGAATTATTCCACAAGAGTCTCAGGAGATGGGACTCATTTAGAACCATGCCAAGCCTTGATTTCCAGAGGAATCCTAACAGACTCTTCAGCTACAGATAAGATGTACCAGGCAATCATATATGCTTTATGCTAAGCTGTTGATAAACCATGGGCTGCTTTCATGTAAAATATGACACTGTCAAGCGTGGTTCAGTGTATCAGAGT